AGGAAAGGCAGAACCAGTTATTTTGATAGTTGTGTCCGCCCTCCTCCCCTCAACTGGGTGAACGCCACATTGGCGGGGAAGTTTTCAGCCTATGGAATTTGGGTGGGATGACCCCTGGGGGTTGGATCGGGTGTGGAGGAGATCATCCGCCGCTAGATCCCGCTGGAGGCTACGCTTGCTTTTATGATTTTTGGCAGACCGTAACTTTTGTCTTTCTACTTGAAACCCATAAATTTTGAATTTTTCCTGTTTTTGCTTATGTCCTCGTTTTCGGTAGATCGTCGCGTATTTTCGAAGCTCGATAGACCGAATTAAAACTTTATATTAAACTGACACTGTCCACCACTAATACTGATACAATCCACTTCTTCGAATTTCTCGAGTATTGGTAAATATCGTGCTTTTATGCTCTGTTCCGTCGTTTCTTATCCGAATCCCTGATTTCTTGTAAAAACTGTATTCCCTTCCCTTTCCCTGCGGTAAGCTACCGCTTGAGGCCATTTCCCTGTCGTCGGTCGGATCCCAAAAAACGAGTTCCGGCCTAATCGCCTCGATCTGTATGCGTAATGTGGACGCCGGTGGTGAAGAGGCTTGATTCGTTCCTCGCTTGGCTTTATTTCCGTTTCCTGTTGCCTAGCAACTTTTAATCAACACGAAAAAACGTGCTTTATGGATTTTACGAATTCCAGCGTTTATCATCCCCTGACAATGCTCTAAACGTTCGAAAAACAAAAGCATGAAAAGCGTGAGAAATACCGTTTCCCAAACCTTTTTTAAAGAACGTAGTAAGCTGAAATCGATTTCCTGTTTGGTCTAGGTCTTGAAAAGATATGAATTTCCAAGAGGAGCTAGTTTTTTCGGCATTTCCGCGCCCATCCCGCACTTCCGGGCTATCGCTCTATGGAACTATAAGAAGACGCTTGAGCTGTCGGGACCTAGTGAGGGAAGGGTCGATTTTTCAGGCTTTCTATCGCTTAAAAAACGTCATTCTTCTAATGCGACCTTTCGGGCCCGACCACTTGTCCGAACACCTAAAACTGACTGCCCGTCCACTTGGCATCTAGTGGACAATACCAATACGGAGCCAATCGGTTGTGAGAGGGAGAGAGAGAGAGAGAGAGAGGGAGAGAGAGAAAGAGATAGAGAGAGGAGCCGAAGGTGAAGATGTGTTTTCCGTCCCAGGCAGACATTGGCAGAACAGGCAGATGAGCACGAGCAGCGGGTAGTTGTTTGAGGAGGCTGGTTCCACGCTTTCCCCTCCCTTCCAGTCATTCTCCCCTCCAGGCAGTCATCTTCCGGTCCTCCAAACAACTCACCCATCCTCCACCGCCCATAGACTCATCCCGGCACCTTCACTTTTACCCCCTTTAGGCTTCTCGCTCTGTAGGGAGCAGAACCTCTACCTGACAGCCGGGAAATTCGTCGGTTTCATGCTGTTGAGATCAATTAAGCTTTGAACTTGTTGCGGAGCGCCTTCGAGCGCCCCCGCCTTTTCCCTTCGCCCCCGGCCCCTCGCCTATCCAGTGCCCTTTCCACCGTAGCGGGGTCTCTCTCCCCACTGGGCCAGCGATGGCATTTATTTCCCCAGTTCCGATCCAGTTCAACTTCTACTCCTAATTCCTTCTTGCCGCCATGTCGCTCACCGAATAAACAGTTGTTCGATAACTGTTCGTCCCGCTGCGCACACCACTTACTCAAGACACAACAACTGGCGAGCAGGATTCCGAACTCACGCAAAATCACGGAAGATCCCCAAGCCAAAAGCCACTCGAGCCGCCGCCGCCCAGTCAAGTCAAGTTGGTCAAGCAGATGTGGATCAAGCGCAAGGACAAGAAGCTCGACATGGCAAGAAGCGGCGTCATCCCATGGCGGATTCGAAAAAAAGGGAAGTATTTTTACCCCTACATTGGCCATCGCACTTTCATGTGCCCGGATCGCGAGGCCATGCCCGTCGACAAGAAGGACCCAGTCGAAGCGCGCCGTCTTCGCCTCAAGCGCAAGAAGGAAGGAAGGATGTCTCCAGTCAAGGACGACAAGAAATGCAGAGAAGGCCGAGACGAATGGGTCAAGAACGCGGCATCCGGCTGCCGCTCGCCCACTGGAACTCCGTCAAGGCCAGCCGCGACTTCTTCAAGGAAAGAAGAAAAAGTCCGCGGTGTCTTTTCACGTTGGAAAAGCCCGCGGCAACGCCCGGCCGTTGATAGCCGAGAAAGACCGGTGCGCCACCACCGAGTGCCGCCGGCCGATGGTACACCTCTATGGAAGAGGCCCGTCGTTTAAAGACCGGGAAGCAGACTTTTTTGAAAAGTCCCCGGCAACCTCCGACGGTTGATAGTCGAGGAAGACCGGCGCGCCACTACCGAGAGCGGCCGGCAGATGGTACACCTCTATGGAAGAGGCCCGTCTTGGAAAGACCGGAAAGCCGACTTTTTTGAAAAGTCCCCGGCGACGTGTCCGACCGTCTGTAGTCGAGAAAGCCCGGTACGCCACTACAGCGAGCAGCCGGCCGATGGATTTCCCCTCTACGGAAGAGGCCCATCGCGAAGACCGAGTCTGATGCAGCAGCTCGGCGGACGGTGCCCCAGCGAGCCCGTCGACACGGAGCGGCAAGATCAAGCTCATTCCTGCACGAGGGAAGGAGGCGTGCCCGCGAGTGCCGTCTACCTTGGTGAAGCATCGTCGAACGTTGAAGGAAGGAAGGAAGGATGACCGTCGCCCACGCGCGCGCCAATTAATAAAGGAAAAAGCAAATAAGTTTGACTTGTTTTACGTTGTGATTTGATCCTTCGTTTTGCTGTACGCAGTTGTACATTTTCCGTTGGTGTCTCCTCTCCTATTCACATTTCCTTTCTTTTTCGTTTGTACAGGGGGAGGTGTTGCGGAGCGCCTTCGAGCGCCCCCGCCTTTTCCCTTCGCCCCCGGCCCCTCGCCTATCCAGTGCCCTTTCCACCGTAGCGGGGTCTCTCTCCCCACTGGGCCAGCGATGGCATTTATTTCCCCAGTTCCGATCCAGTTCAACTTCTACTCCTAATTCCTTCTTGCCGCCATGTCGCTCACCGAATAAACAGTTGTTCGATAACTGTTCGTCCCGCTGCGCACACCACTTACTCAAGACACAACAGAACTCATCGAAGATACCCTCACCTATCATACCTATCTTTTCTTACCATACCTACCTGTAGTGATTACTTGGCGTTAAAAAAAATTTAACTTTTATCATACATCCGCCTGAAGGCCCGCCAAGACTATGTATATCGCATTATTTGCGATCTTGATCTCGATTATTCGGAAATTTTGTGTCATTGCCCCTTTAAATGCAAATGGTATGAATTCCGGCCAGAATTCCAATTCTGCTTCAATAGTTAATAGTATTTCGATGCTCATAAAAACTCCGGAAACGCTGCTCAAGCAATATTTTTCACTAATTCCGGAGCTGACCGTAATTAATAACTAACGCAAACCTACCGAGCCGTCGGACCGTTTCTTACCAGGTTTTCGCTCCTGATGCCTCTACAAACGGCAGATTAGGCTAGCTTCCCGAATACAACCATCCCATAAATCCCGAAAATGCGCGCGCACGGTCTCGATCCGCCAATTTCGAGACAAATTTGACATGACATAACGGGGGAGGCTGAGCCTCCCCACGTTATGCAATGGGTTGGAGTTGAAAGTGGATGGATTGATGGTTGAGGCAGAAAGGGAAGCGAGAGAGAGAGAGAGAGAGAGAGAGAGAGAGAGGCAGAGAAAAAGAGCGCAGGATGCCCTGCAGGCTTCGCTTCGATGGGTCAGACGAGCCGAACCGGATCCAGGCGCCCGGGCAGCGGATGGAGACTCACCCGCACCCCTAGTTGAGTCGGACTCAGCCGCCGCCGGCATCCCTCCCCCATCCATCCATTCCAACCATTTTTTTAGGGGCTAGGCTGCCATGGGAGAGGGCAATTATACGGATTCGTGCCCTCGGCTACACGTTGCGCTTCTTTCCAAATGCCGAAAGTAGTCAGGATTTTCGGAGCCCAAAGACCGCCCCTGGCTACTACTTTTGGAGTTTTGCACCAGACTCGCGACGCGGCATGCCATTCGAACTTTTCAAGGAGAACTTGGCTGACTTTTTACTTATACCACTATTTCTCAAATCTACCCCTTTGAATAGCGTTTTTGTGACTCGCACTTGTACGTGCTTTTCTAAACACCGACATTTTGCATGCTAGCCCGACGTTTTTTTTTCGATTTTTTTTCCTGGCGGTCCCGGTTGACCTAGTAATCAAATATAAAGTGTTTTCGAATCGTTTTTAGTAAGTTTTAACTATATTTAAAGCAGAATAACTTTCAGAAAAATTTAGAAAAATGTTTGAAAAAGTCGAAAATTTGGTCATTTTGGGTCTTTCCCCCGCGAATCCTATAGAACCCTATTTCTAAATACCTTCTGCCCACCCCTCTAAATAATTTGTTTCACTTAGATTTACTGCGCTTCAATTATTCACTTTTTGCTTGTTGTCTATTTAATGCTTTTGTACTTACAAAGCTTCGAATATGCAGACTTTACCGAAACTTTTAATGAAGCCCTTAAAATTTACTGGATTTGTTTGGCGCGCTATTTTTTTTGAGGTTTTGGTACCCCTGGTGTCGCCACACCTTTAAAGTTCTCCACACCAAACGCCTTCCTGCTTCTTCCATAACGCCCATTACAACTCTTGGTATTTTTCAGGCCTTCCGATCCGGAAATAATTAAAATGAGAAAAAGCCTGATATTTTTGCATTTTTGTAATTTTTTAAATTTTAAACTTTCGTCTTAGCCACCTCGATACATTGGCTTTCCGGATACACCCTTCAAACTTTGTTCCCTCAATGCTTTCCTTCCTCCGTCTCATATTCAATGCGCTGTACTTTTAAGTATTTACTGTCGCGAAATTCCATGTTTTTCACGCCCTCCCCCGATTTCAGGTAAATGCCGGTCGGCTAGCGACAAGGCAGGCCCCCACTTCAACACCCCCACAGAGAAAATGCCTCCGAATACCGTAGCCCCGTCTACGTCGGCCATGGAGATGACGAAGAAAGTGTCTTTTGATTGCCCATCAAGCTCTAGCAGTTCATCAACAGAGCTTTCGAACTGTGAGGCTAATGAAGGTGGGTCAAACGGGTTTAGACGGACTCGGAAGGCAAAATCTTGGGATTTAGGCATACATGAAATTTCATACGGAACTAGTAAGGAAACTGGTTTCTGGGCTATAAAAAGTTTTAAGACTCTCTTGATTAGTGTATTTTGTAGATATTTTGCATCTCAACAGAATTTTCAAAAATATTACAATCCCTAAATCGACATTATGCGCATGTCTACGCGAAGATCGAGTTAAGGTGGTTCCCATGGTTTCCGATCAAAGTTATCGTGCCATAACATTTTTAGTTTACTTTTTTTGGGTTGAAATTCATTTTGATAATACATTTTAACGCTGTTCTCCAAAATTTTTGGAAAACTTTAATTTCTAAAATATATACATTTTTTGTTAACTATTTAATTATATGTATCGATTATCACATTTCATCAAAAGCTATTTTTCCCTAAATAATAGCTCATAATAATAGCTCACTTTCAGACCTGCACCCTTATCGTGCCATCCCACTCTCGACGAAAAACGTCATTTTCCTCACGGTCGGCATGGCGTTCTTCTCCTTCATATATTTGTTTCCGGCTCAACACGATAAATTTCTATTCTATGGGATGACCGGGTAGGTATATATTGAATCTTGTAGAGTTTTCCGGAATTTTTAATGACGCTCAAAATATCTGCACAATTTTTATTAAAATAATCGAAATAAAATATCGGTTTCAGGTTGATAGTCCTCTTCATTACGACAATATACACAGTGGGGTCATTGTCGGTGGTTTACATGGTCACCGATCCTTATTCCAAAGAGTTGAAGGTATGTAAATTTTTGTCGCTCTCTCCCGCTCTCTCACACACACTCTCTCTCTCTCTCTCTCTCTCTCTCTCTCTCTCTCTCTCTCTCTCTCTCTCTTCCCTCTCTCTACTCCCGCTTTGTCGCCCTCTCTCTCATCTCTCTCTCACTCTCTCTCTCTCTCTCTCTCTCTCTGTGTCTCACTCTCTCTCTCTTCCCGCTCTCTCCCGCTCGCTATTCTTCTATCTATCTCTCTCACACCCCCTCTCCCTCTCTCTCCCGCTTTCTCTTGCCAATTCTGCTGTTTTCAGGACGTCCAATTCGAATCCTACCAAGGCCATTTCCACTCGCTTCCCGTCATTTCTGAAGCCAGCGAAGAAGTGGCCGTTTGATGCTAATTTTCTTGTTTTAATTTTATTAGGATTTTTTGCGCTTACAATTGCCAACTACGGGTCCGAAATCAGTATCTGCTCATTAATGCGTGCTTTTGTTTCCCTAAAAAAAAGAAAATCTATGCATAAATATTTATCAAACAGAAAACACAAAAAAAATCGAATGAAATGGAACTGAAAAACGCTATATCCCAGAGAACGGACAGTCAGATGCACTCAAACACGGCAAGGAAAAATACAATAAAAATCACGAAAACTACAAAAATACAGTAGTAATACAATGGTTGAAATGCGCAAATACCCATAGAAGATTTTGGCAGGAATCACATCGAGGGGAGAGAGAGGGTGGAGAGGGAGAGAAATCGGGCCGTTTTGGTGATTTTGTAGTTTGGAAATTGGAAGCTTGAGAATTTGCATAGTAAAGGGACTGACAAGGCAAAATTAACGATTTTTAGGCTATGGATTTTATTTAGATCTGACCAGGGTTGAAAAGCCGCTTCGCGACTTTTCAACCCTGGCCCCGTTTAGACAAATGAAACTGTAAACTTTGCATAATTCCGCCTCAATCATGCTGACAGAAATGAAAAGCTTTCCTGCCATCCCTTTATATAGGCTTCTTCTACTTCCGGTATACGCTAATTGTTTCCTACCAAAGAGGGTTCTAGAAAATTTTACAAAAAACTTATTTTTAATATCGAAAATAGCGTATTTCGATAATTCTGTTATGCGTGCAGTCATCGCAGAGCCATTACGCACCTAATGATGTATCATACATACCCTAATATTCATCCCCTATTGAGTTATCCTCCGGACATACAGACGGAAGTTGCATGCAAATCGACACACACACAGACACTACTTTTTTATATATAGTAGGATATCGCGGTGCGGCTAATTAAATACCAGCGAAAAATTCATAACCATGCCTTCCCAGCTCCTTTAAAGGGACCGGTAAGCGCCAGAATCGCCCCCGACTTCCTGTTAGGTCTCGACAGGTAAGAGACGCGCCGAATACCGGCTAGATGAGGCGTTTCTGACCAGACAGTCAAAATTCAAATGAGCTGACAGCTTCTTTAGCTTGCCGTCTATCTGTCGAGACCCAGCCGAAATGAGGGGTCGATTTCGCGCTTTCTAGGTCCTTGAATACCAACTCTTAGACAGTGCTATACTTTCAAAGACTACGGCTCAGCGGTGACAATAGAATAGTTGGCATTGGAGTCCTGGTCGGTGGGCAGGTCCTCGTCGACAAAGATCAACCGCCCTTGCACTGCTCGCCAGTACTGCGTGTGCATGTACGGCTTGTCTTGTTGCTGAAAAAGGTAGATTAGGACTTATCAAACACCAGAAAATCATAAGAAATCCCTATCTTCAAGAAAATGTCACATTTCATATATTCTTTTTGTGATTTTTCTATTCTGAAGAAATTCCCAAGAATTCTAGGCTTCCAAAACACAAAAACCTTTTTGGTTGAGCTTAAAATTCCTAGAAACACCAAAAAAAAATTTCAAAAGTATTACTCTGGGACTTTATCTCGGATTCGATTACGTGTGGTTATTCTTCCAAACGTTTCTTTTAACGCGTATTAAAAAAATTGTACATTTACTTTATAATGCTATTTTCGATTATGCTAACTAATTATCCTGGTTTGCAGCGTTTTTTTCACAACCAAATTCGCATGTTCCACGGCACTCCTGGAAGTTTGCATACAAAAAAGTTGTTTCGAAAAGAAATGGAAGCCAGGGCGAAAAGGGACAGTTTAGTGACAGAAATAAGGGAAATCAAAACTTTTAATCTTATAGTATCCACACGCTTTACCGAATTTATCGAAAACCGCGGCAACTTATAGAAGTCGGCGGGCAGCATTTGCAGGCTTTCTTTCTAAGTTTTTATCGTTTTTTATTGATATTTTTGCGAAATACTCCGACGCGAAGAAATACAAAAAGCTATGAAGTTCTTAATGGAATTAGCTGCATACGTAAATGTTGCTCGGCTTACCCGTAAACTTGGCAACTCCCCAGCCTCGACCCGGATCGCATTGTCGACGAACTGCTCCAAGTTGAGATTCTGCAGCTGATCAACGTCAACGTTGAACTGGTCGCCGAGGTTGCGGACGAGTTGCTTCATCGTCAATCTAAAAAAGTTGATTTTTGGATGTAGCAATTTCTCAAAATCCCTAACTACTACCAAAAACGTACTGCTGGCCGCCAAACCAAATCTTGACATTGCTGACGTTGTCCAACTTGCGGCCAAAGTAGTGCAACTTTTTCAAGTATTCAGCCGCAATTTCTGAAAGTTTTGTTTGGTTTTTAATTGGCAGGTGGTGTTTGCATTTAAAGGGACTGTAACAGCAATTTTCAGATTAGAAAGTCACGGTTTTTGATGGCACACTCCCTTTAAACATTAAGCCAATAATGGGTTAATTGACACACCTATTGCAATTGTCGTCAACGCCAGCCCAATCGCCACATATGATAATGTGAGTACGAGATACTCTTTCCTCTGTGGCACCAAATCTCCCAAGCCTATCGTCGTCAGAGTGACGAAGTTGAAGTAGATGGCCTAGAAATGGTAAAATAGAGACAGACGGAGAGAAAGAGAGTGAGAGCGAGAGAGCGAGAGAGAGAGAGAAAGTGAGAGAGCGAGAGAGCGAGAGAGCGATAGTGAGATCGATAAAAGCAACTTACCAAAAAGAAGTCCATATCCTCCTCGTAAGATGAGATCATAAATGAACCCAGCACGATATAGATGACGAACGCGACGAAGAGCACCATAGCATCTAAAACGTTTGTTTATCGCGCCTTTTTCGTCTTTTGTATTTTTCTATGAATTTACTGTCGCCATTTTTATCAAAGGAAGAAAACGAAACGGAAAAACGCTTTATCGAAAGGCCTACCTGTCATAGCATCCGGATCCTCTTCCTCCTCCTCTTCAGGCTTCTCCTTTTCGTCTTCTGAATCGGAATCTGCCTCGTTACCGTTGCTATCGGTACTTTTAATCTGAAAATGGAGCCATAAACTCTTTCTAAAAACTTCATTACCTTGCTGTAGTCAACAAGAGACTCCTTCTCCTTCGACGTCCCATGCCTTCGTATGCTGCTTTTGAATTTTCTGAAAATGAAATTGGGTTTTCGAAATCATGAATAAAAAATCTCTATGAAAAATTTGAAGAGCTTACCTGCAACAAGTAATGAACGGCCGAGTCCACGCCTTCAATAAAGAGGCAAAAAATTTGCCCAAATTTGCTATCGCCAGCATGGTGAATGGGACGCCGACGAGACCATAGCAAATGACGAATAATCGACCCTCGAAGGTCTGCGGTGCCACGTTACCGTAGCCTAAAAAGCGAGGGGTTAAAGGTATCCTAAAGGTCGTAGTCAATATGTTTCTAACGCTGGATCTCCCTCTCACTCCCTCAGTCATTCTCTTTCTCTCTCACTATCTCTCTCCCTCTCGCTCTCTCTCTCTCACTCTCTCTTTCTCCTAACTTACCAATAGTTGTGATGACGGTAAAGCAGAAGACTATTGAGTCCATGAACGACCAATATTCCCACTCGATTTCCTCACCATCTAGGAGGATAAGTATAGGAAATAGAACTAATACATATTATTATAATATATTATATCTGTGGGAACAGTTTAAAAGATGAAATCGTGGATACCTTAGGCAAGTTTAGTTCCAAAAGCTTACCAAATTTGACAGACACCGTCTCGATTGAAGCACTTCCGGAGTATTCTTTCGAGAGGTCGCGATCTAAAAAAGTAGAATATAATTTAATTTCCCTGCCATCAATGCATCACTGCTTCGAATTCCCGGGTTTGCAATCACTTTCTTTCTACATTTTGTATTTTATAGGCCCTGCTGTGCAGTTTTCCCTCTAAAATTTCCATAATTTCCCGGGAATTAACACCCCTCACTCCCGCACAAACAATTGGCTGACCCCCGGGGCAGTAATTAGCATGCGTTTAGCAAAGGGTGCTCATGCCCTCCGCCGGGCAGATATATCAGACTGAAATTCGATACCTCTGCTCCTTTCTCATACCACAACCCCAACTCCTCCTTTAAATCGAACACCGCGTTCCGGGTCTAGGGTAAACATTGCGTTCGCGAGACGAATTTGCCAGGAAACATTTCGAAAAACTTTGTAAATTGGTGGATAAGCCCTTCAGCATTAATCTACGCATTAAAGGACACATTACAACACTTGCGCTTTGACTTGAATGAACCTGTAAAGAGCGCAAATTAAGCTGTTGATTACGACTAACGTTTGCAAATCATGCAAATCAGGTTCTAAGCGGCGCCAATAACCCCTGCTAAACTCCCGCTTCACATCCCAATAGCTGAATTCACCGTAGATCTTCGGCCCATAATTATATTAGATGCACATACCTCGATGGGCCTGATGTCGAATTTTATGCTCAAGGAGTTGAACTTTGGGTGGTCCCTGCTGGTCGAGACTTTTCTCCAAGTCATCCTGGTAGCATTCGTCCAGCATTTTCACGCCACTCGCCTGTAATTAATTGGGTGATTGAAAGAGAGAGCGCGCGAGAGAGAGAGAGAGAAAGCGAGGGAGAGAGAGAGGTTGCGTGTCTGCGAGCTGCGGAAATGAAACAGTGCCCCATAACCTGGCCGAGATCAATTTCCGGATAAGGCATATGGTAACCTGGATCGGCTCCGGGTAAGGTAACTGGGAGCAATTGCCCCATAAGTTAATGAGTATTCGGAGTGGAATGTACGGAATGTTCAGGTATACGATAGAAAAGGTAGCGGCAGCCGAGAGCGAAAGAGAGCAAGAGGGAGACAAATATCTGGGATTAGTTTTCTTACCGTCAGCATCAAATGTTCGGAGCAATTCGTCTCCTCGGCGATGAATTTGAGGGCTTGGATCACACATCTTCGCGTTCGGCTCACTAAAAAACATCGATATTCTCATTTTCAAGTTATCACGACGGATTTCGAGTCGTAATTTCAAGACCCTCAATGACTTTTTTTTTGAAAGCTCCTGCCTTGCCAGAAAAAACTTGGTAACTTCCTCTTACATCCCAGACCACCCCGAAGTAATCCTAGCAATAATTTTTCGCGACAAACTTTTTCTGACTGGCTCGGTGTGGCTGGCAGCAAACGAGGTGCCTAGGGCAAAGAGGTAATCCCCACCCATCCTTTAGAGAGCCTGGGGGTGGAGGAGCCTAGACATTTTGAGGTAAGCAGCAGGAATATTTTTTGGAGATAGAGTGAGAAAGTAGTGTTTACGCCAAAAAAAAATCGGGATTTCGTGGAAATGGAAACAGATGGCTTAACGCAATGACTCCCTCACTCTCCCTCTCTCTCTCACTCTCTCTCCCCCTTTTCCTATTAATGAATCAATACCGAAAGTCAAATACGGTAACGTCTGCTCATGTAAAAATTCATTTCCTGGTGATTTTCATTCCAGCTTTCGGTGTTTTCGCCTTCAGTTGGTAGCCCCAGACTCCCCAAACTTTTTCAGGCTCCAAAAATCCCTTTGGTCTCTGCTGCTAGCCATGCATTATTTCCATTCGCCTTGCACTACCTATATCACATATTTTCACATATCTTTGCAACAAGATCCCCCACGAATTCTGTGCGTCGATGTGTTTCGTCTAGCGCTCCCCGACGCCCAAAAAAGCGCAAAAACAGAGGGCCAGATTCGAAGGGCCCGGGCAATTTTTCCAGGGTTTCTCCCTGCATGTTGTGGGCCCCAAACCAGACCCCGAGGCTCATATCAAGATGAAATTCGATGCGCCACGAAGCGCCCCACTGGGCCGCGCATGGGAAACGATTGCCTGGGGGGCACAAATGAGACCTCTCGCGCACCGAGCAGGGTGAGAGAGTGCTTTTTAGGGCTCGAAAATGGAAATCCCAAATCGGCTGCTCTTCGCTCCCTCCGAAAAACCAACAAACGCAACCTGGGGCGGCGTTTAGATGGGATTGCTTTTTACGGGAGGAAGCGAGGAGACAAACAAGTGCAGATGGCTGGGGGTAAAGGGCGAAGCTTTAATTTTTGAGCTCAAACTCGGGTTTCCGGAATTGGAAAATTTTTTTTATGAAATCTAGCTCAAATTGCGGAGATCACACATTTCATGAAACATACAATTGAAAAGCTAGGGTGGGTGACGACAAAAATGGAGGACGGCCAATTTTTTAAAATACTCCTAAAGATCCTCTGCCAGTTCGCCCTGACTAAAACGACGTCAAATTGCCAGAAACAAGTGACAAAGCCCTGCTACAGGGTGTTATTTCACCAATTGGAGGATGCGAAAAAGCTAACATAAACGCGATCTCCTGTTTCCACAAAAATCTCTGCTAGACTACCTGCTAAAAACCAATAAAAAACAATTAAAATCGGCTGCAATTTTAGAATCGGATTGGAATCTTTGAAAATTGACAATACTGACCAATTCCTGATTTCCCCAAGAAAATCTGCTAGCTTGCGCTCAAAAATCACCCCCAGACCCGCAAAAACGAAAAACATCAAGCTTGGGGGAGCAGTTCGCTTGAAGCAACGATACATAGCGATTCTTTACCTTTTCTTAAGCTTGGAGGTAGCTGTCCTTGATAAAAAAATCAAGATACCTTTACTCTTCAGATAGGTCTTGAAGAATATGTGTATACGAATCATGCCAAAATCCACATTTTCCGAAATAAAATGAAAGCTTTAGAATACTTACTTGGCTCCCGCTGGATCCAGTAGCCTTGTCGCTTGACTCGCGGCGCTGTCGGGAACTGGAAAGACATTGGATTATCCGGAAATTCGCTTATTTCTGGTTAACCGCTTTCTAAATCCCTTAAACATAAGCATAGTTGTACAAATTGTTATAATAAACGTATTAACTCACGTCTTCTATCGTTAAATTGGTATAATTCTTCGGTACCGCTTCGATATTTCGTATTGTGATGGCTCCGATGACGCAGTACAGGGCCACCGCCACCACCATAACCAAGTGGAGGGCATAGGGAGCGAGCTGGAAATATGCAAATTAGGGTGGTAATTCGTAGAAATGCATAATCATACATTTTTATCAATTTCCAACAATTCTTTGAGCTCACTTTCTCTTCAGCCTCCAGAAATTAAAATCGAAAACCGCGTCAGTCATTTTAGATTATTTTCTCCTCGATGGTATTAAATTAAATTTCTCTTGTAGTTTGAGCTTAGAGTTGGCTTTTAACGAGCTTTATAATCCGTAGGCAGCTTTCCGGATGTTGCTTTTACCGCTACAAACCTATAAATTCTCTTCCCCGTGATGCTTTGAGATCGGCTAGACAGATAATTTGCAAGGGGAGAACACCCCGATCCTCTTGACACCGCCTCAGTAAACAAATAAATTTCAGCTGTTCAAAGCGGAATTAAGTTACTCTTTACGTGTTCTCAGAAGAATTTTAATGCGAAATTTGCTGTCAGCTGGTGTTCAAAACTGGATTTGTCGATAATTCGAAATTGAAAGAAAGCTAGATTTATCAGTTTTCTCCTTACAGATTCAACTTAGATTAATTAATGCACCTTCTTAAAGCTATTTTTTTGGTTCAGAATTTGAGAGATCTTGCCGCCCCAAAAATCTCTTTTTTTCGGAACCATGGCTGGATCCGGCAGCATCAAACACATCTGTTTCAAGAAATGAGAGAGAGAGAGTGAGCGTGACCCAAAATTTGCCCCTAGGGCACGTCTTTTGCTTTGTTGCCCCGTTGAAAATGGGATTATCCATGGCCGCCCGCAAGGCAACACGGAATTTGTGTTCTCTTTCACGCCGGGGGCGGCTGCACTTTTTTTATTGGCGGCATGACGGATGGGTGGTTGGAAGGCGGCCAGCTACGGGGTTAAAAGGAGCATTTAAAAAGTCGAAAAGCCAAAAAAAGTGTTGGGCGCAGTTATTCTTTGTAACCAAGATGTGAATCTGCAGAATCAGAACATTCCAAAAACTCAGCAAGCCTTGGCATAAAAAGTGTTGTAAAAGCAGTTCTGAACAAAGTTTCTGAACATTCACTAGACCCTCCCAAAAGTTGTTAAATTTGTTTAGCATAACAGTTTCAGTTAAAGCGTAATCCAGGTGGCAAAAACATTGAATATTAAAACAAATAAGCTTTTACAGTCTATATTTGAAGTTTTTCCCTGAAAATAAGTGCAACGGTCATATATGGGCCATTAATGCAAAAAAGCAAAATCCGCCACATATTGAACATGTAGCCGAATTTTTGATGCTAAACATTTTGGAATGGCCCAAGGCTAATTTTTCTGCATTAATGCGCCCATTGAAGCGTCTATCAGAATGACTGAAAAGTAACTGGAACAAAATTAAGCGAAATGTTGAATTCAGAACGCCTAAGTTACTTCTGATACTGCGAATAACCCATTATAATCGCAAAATTCGATACGAAGCGTGCGAATGTGAGAAAGAATGCCCGTTTTGGCATATTCCTACCTTCTTGACGTCAATCTTCTTCTTGTTGACGAAGGTGCCGCGGTTGAGCACCATGATTGTGTATTAGTTGAGCAAGAGGGAGACAATATTATGGAGCGTGACTGTATTCACATAGCGCCCGCCACTCCGGGGGGTCAGCTGCACAGGGTGGGCATTAGAATTTTTCGGGGCAGATGGGTGGTACTGGCAGTAGGAGGCGGTAGCAAGAAAATTGAGACAATTCTGGCACCTCCTAGCGAGTGGGGTGTCAATAGGAGCGGTCCGTAATAATTACTGTGGGCAGCAAATGGGTGGTAGCCCACTTAATAGTATTGTAGCAACAAGGAGCGTACGGAGTAACGTGGCGGAATTTTTAGAAAACTATTGAAACTGCTTTAATAAATAGGCAGCTTTCTACGTAATTCGGGTGCGTACTTATGTATCGAGGATTGTAGAGGAATTTTCAAAAATTTGAACGTAAATAAACGTAGTAATTTTTTAAAATTATGTAAGTTTCAAGCGTATTGGAGTAGAATCCTTCCTTACGCTTCGAGATTTTTCAAGAAATCCCAGCTTCTCCTGCTCCACCCGCGTCAAGAATAAGCTTTTTAACAGCGTCCGGGGAATGTCGCGTAGCCGTATGGAAGGGGATCGTAAAGTATGGGCCGCGCGGAAACGTTCCCAATTATCGTCGCGTCTGGCCGGCTGGGATGGACCGAACGTGTAAAGGGGTGCCAAGAGGTAAGTTGCGTACCCCTAAAATTGAATCCAGACTGGTCAGAGGTAGGAAATACAGTAGGAATATGGTACGCTCGCCTTCAGAGAAAAGCCACGAAGTCAGGCTTAGTAAGTAGCTAGAAATCGTATTTTTGTCGGATACAGTAGTCTTTAAAAACTCCAGTTTCCAGGCAGACTAGGGTTAAATTGAGAAAAAGCGGGATACAAGGGTAATCAAGGTGGGGTTTAGAGGGATGTAGCGTAGCGGACAACTTTCATAAGAATGCAACGTAGCGAGTCACGTTCAGAGGAATGTAGCGTAGCGAGCAACTCGTAAGGGCCTAGAATTAGCCCGAATTAACGTAGCTCTCGAGCAGCTTCAAGTGACCCGGAGTGACCACTTGTCCAAACCCTGCGGCGGGTAGTAAAACTTGAGTACCCTTCCGGCTTGTCAGAATTCGAGAGAGATAGAAATATAAGGGGCAGCAACGCGTATGTGTGGCCCGGGGTAACAAAAGTATTCGCGTCCCGCTTCTAGTGTCCGGGGATGGGCGGAAGGAGAAGTGTCCGTCCGGGCTCAAAAGCTCCTCCTCCTCCCGGTGGGTGGGTCACTCACTAGCTGCTTGGGCCCAGGGAATATATGGGGGGGGTCTATGACCAGAGGTCTAACGGGGTGGATCTGCTGGTTGGGGACAAATGGGAGGTGCACGCCTCTTTCCTATGGACACACAGGAGGGCTTCTCCATATCAAGGGCGTGACCACTGCAGCAGGGATATTCTATTGTCTTGGAAATTTGAAAATGAGCACTGGGATCCCGAAATCGTGTTTGCTGGCTTGCTTTCGGCCTCAGCTCAGATTTTAGAATCTTTTCTCTTGTACTTTTTTTAGAATGCTTTAGATCGAATCTGAACTTTTGACCTGTTGGAAAAGCATTGAAATGGGCGTCTGAATTCCGAAAGAATATTTTCTGACTAGGCCTGGAACGGGACTAGACCCGGGATTTGTTTTTATCCTTTTTTTAGCTTTTTCTTGGGATTTATCGAACTACTGCAACGTTTATAGCCAATAGCTTTTTTCTTAAATGGTATTTGCTAGCTTCCCCCTAAACTTTTTGGGCTTTGATTTTACGTTTTTTGAGGTTCTCGGTTCCTCGTAAGCTTTCCTAGAAAGCGACAATCAACAATGTCTCAAATAACAGGCTGCCAATTGCCTTAAAACTTTATTAGTAGTTTTTACAGGTACGATAACGCCGAAATTATGAAAGTTTTCTATTCTTAAATCATCCCTGCTAGCTATCCCCCTATTAAATGTGCCTTAACTTAATGATGCGCAAGATCTACTAAATTTTTCGCTTATGTTTGTCGCAGCTAGAGGCTCTCTTTCTCTTTCTCTCTCACTCTCTCTCTCACTCGCTCTCTCTCTCTCGCTCTCTCTGTCGTTCCTAAAGTGTTCCTCACCTCAAAAAACTAAGCATCTCAATCTTTTTCGGGTTTCCTCGTTCTGGGAGCATCAGGCCCCTGTGATGAATATGGATAACGAGCCGTTTTTCTTGACGGCCGGGCCCCTCTTTAGCATAGAAATTGGCTTTTTTGTGCCGTTCTCAGAATGGGATTAGTGTTTCGGGGTTCCACTGGGCAGCAAATTATCCTTTTTTGGAAATTGTTTTGCAGTGTACGTTTGTAAGGAGGACCCCAACGGAACGGATTTTATGGAACCTTGAGTTCTCCCGTTACCAAGAACCGGATCGGGTTATAAAACGCTGTCTTTAGGTAGACCGTATATTGACAGATTTAATGTTCTTTACAGTTTTTCCTAATTTTGTGCCTGGTTTCTGGATGCCAAAACCCATACCATTCCGCCTATTCTGCCCCTTTAAGCAACGTTTTAAGGTTAGTTTAGAGAAGACAATTACTGCTAACATATTTTTCCTAGTTTTAATAGCATTCCAGATGTATTTTTTGTGATTAACAATATACGAAAACCAAGAGCCCTTGAGTGTTGGAGCTTGCTAGTTCCTTTAAGAGATGCTAATTTATAGAGGTACTTTCAAGGCTGCGATTTTTGCTAACATTCTAGATGTCCGGCTTCCA